CACCCCACCCTGAGCCATGGTTCTGCTCGAGGTTTTGCCTCTTAAAAGGAAGTTTTTCCTTGCCTCTGTCGCCTAGTGCTGCTCTTGGTGGGAACTGTTGGGCTTCTGTAAATAACATCACAGAGTATGGTCTAGACCTGCTCTCTTATGAAAAGCGCTGTGAGATAACTGTTGTTGTGATTTGGCGCTATATAAATAAAATTGAATTGAATTAATTTTCTTATTGTCAATAAACAAGTTGATTTTGGATGACGTGTCAGGATAACCAGGCTCCTCCTCACTATAAAAGTTTGACTTTCAAAACAATCATAAATTAACACAGCAGCAAAGTCAGACAGACTCACCAAATTTAATGGAACAAAATTGTGTTGTCTAAAACACGTAAACATAGGCCATGTTAAATAAAACAGAAAACAGGCAGACACACAGACGTAACCCTGACAGTTAAGATAAATACTAAATTTTAGATCTTCTGTGTGGCCACAGAAATCTACCGTATATTGAAAGGGTGCAGGAAGTGTCCGTCTCTGTGACACATGTATAAAAAGACCTTCATCATAACTTTAACAAGCAAAATATATGTAAATGAGTGAATATTGTTTAACTTATTTTTATGAGTTAGATAAATGATTCATTGGACATTCAGAAACTCATGATTATAGGTTTTTAAAGTAATTATACACATTAAAACTGACAAACTCATCTATTTTATATATAATTTAGTTAATACATGTTGTGAGATTTTGAAATGCAAAGTAAAGATGCAAAATTAGTTTCTCTTCATTCCTCAACTAAAGTACACAAGTTAACAGAACTTTCTCACTTTATAATAAAAATACCAGATTATCATCTGAATTAATTATTAAAAAGTATAAAGTTAGTGTTTTTAACAATGTGTTAAGAGATTTTACAATAGAAGTTAAATGAAAAAAAGCATCTGGACACTCAAATGTGCACAAAAAAACAACCTTTATAGCTTGTATCCAGGCTAGATGTTCTTTCCTCTTTTTATTTACAACAGAACAAGTTAAAATTAAGGAATCCACCACAGACCAGTTTTTATTTTGTTCAGTCTGTCATCAGTGGAATCGACCCTTTTAGAAGTGCTGTGAAAAACTAGATGAAATTCAGTGACTTTTGTTATTTTCAGACTTCATCTTAGAAGGTGTTTCTTTCTCTATAATTGTTTATTATTAAGGACTGACTGATTTACCAAAGGATCATTTGACCTGTTCTTATGTTTTTCAATCAGTTTTCGCTAACATCCAAACCAAGAAAAGTTTCCAGACACTGAGAGACGAGCATGAAGCTCTAAAAAGAAATCTCACAGGTAAGCCAGTCACGATTTGAAACTCTCTTTGTCTTCAGTCTACAAGTTACAAGTCTACTGTCAGTTAAATTACAACACTGCAGGGTCACTTTAAAATGTGACAAGGTTTGTTGTTGAATGACTGATCTCTGATAATGATCTGTTTTCAAGTTATCTTGCGTTTTTTTGTTTTCCCACTTTAACTAGAATGTGAAAGGTTTGTGTTATGTCTCCGTTCAGGTTCAGAAAAAAGATTTATTTTGTGGTTTGCAGCTCAGATTCTACAGTCATCTGCCTTGCTAACTTGTAAATGTGAATAAGAATAATAGTGATTGTTTCAGCTGCTCTCAGATTAAAACTCATAAACTTGCAAGCTTTAACCCTTGAAGCTTTTAATACTCTTTAATAACAGAGAGACGCTGTAATGTAAAACCATGCAACACGGTGCAGCAAACATGCCCACAACCTCCTGCAATAAAAATAGTAAGTGATGGAGTTTTCCTTTCAAACTGTTTTTGTCCTCTGATGATATTAAAGAAAAACTGGTGGAATGACAGATACAAAAGTTAAATTGGTAGTATTATACTATAACTGGTGTAGAAAACTGTTGCCTCTCTCTGATTGTCTCAGCTACTCGCAGATTCAAAGCTCCTGCTGCTTATTAATCACACAAATATAAACAGTGATTTGTTGCACCTGACTGAAGTCGTTGCTGTGATATCTTCAAAGATGAAGCGATATGTGAAGAAGGCTGGGAGCAACATGGAGGAAAGTGCTATTATTTCTCCAACAATAGTTCACCCTGGGAAAATAGCAGAGAGGATTGTCGACAACAAGGAGGAGACCTGGTTAAGATAGACAGCAGAGAGGAGCAGGTATAACACTGCTGCAGGTTCATGTAGCTTTCTGCATTCGTTCACGATATCTGTGTGAAAAGTTACATGTTGTACTTTCATCACCTTTCCGTCCAGACATTCCTGGAGCTGAAAGTGAGAGAAAAAATGAACTATTTTGAGGACAGGTTCTGGATTGGACTGACAGACTCAAAGGAAGAGGGCACATGGTTGTGGGTGGACGGCTCTCCACTGTACACAAGGTTTCACTGTTGTAAAACACATTTTTGTCCATTTCCAATATCAAAGTTACCTGTTTTGTTGAATCAGTTCTTTCTGTTCTCACCCTCTCAGTTCATCTTTTTGGAGCGGTGTTGAGCCAGACAACTGGACAGAGGAAGATCCTGATGGGGAGGACTGTGCGAGGATGGGGGAGACAGCAAGACATCTTTGGTGTTGGTTTGATAAATCCTGCAAAGTGCCTCACAGACGAATTTGTGAGAAACAAGCAGAAACTGGGAACTAATGTCTGAAATGTAGTTCAGTTTAGGTCTCACTCAGCCTGTTAAACAATCTCAGAACAGGATACAGAATGTGGAGCAGTGGAGCAATGTTAAAGAAAACAAAACTGAACAATAAACATAGTTCAAAGACCATGCTGTTTCTGTTCTCAATAATTATGGAGAAGATAATATGTAAAAGGTAACAAGTGTTGGAGGGAATATTCAGATCCTTCATTATGTACCAATACACTGTTCCAAGTGTAGCTACAACTTCAGTTCAAGCAAACGCTACGTGCTTAATAGTTTTAGTGCTTTACCTTGCTGTGAGACAGCCATGTCTTGTGTTGAGAAAATGTAGTTCCAAAGGAAATGGTGGTCTGAAGGTAAAACAGCACAATGCTACACCAACAAAACTACAAATAGCTTTTGTACTATAGAAAGTGTCTATAGGAAGAGGAAGGTGAAATTTGTTTTAGTAAAACCCCTCAAACATTAACTGACCACAAGGGGCAGCATCTCTACATTTGACCTTAAATACAGACAAAACAGTCAAAATGAACCCCAGAGGACACAAAAAACCTTAATGAACCATCATGTTGTTTAAGAGGATTCATATTAATAAGACTCCTCTGTTCACGTCAGTGTCAAAAGTTGTTTCTTTATCCGAGTAGATCTGTAGGACATGCATGGACATATCGATCTATATAACGTAATAAAAGGAATGTAAAATAAGGATTACTTTTCAGTATTTTTATTTATCAAAAATAAAAAAATAACTAAATCTCAGGTCAGAACTGAAAGCATCAACATTCAACAAACCAAAGACTTGACAAACCGTTTATATGAGCAGTTAACTTTTTTCTTCATCTGTTAAAGTTGATGAGACATCAAGGGATGATTTCACAGAAATATTTTAGACTTATCTGTAGTGTTATGCTACTTCATTTTCTTAATAAGATGGGTGTAATGTAAGTAAATAAAGGCTGTTTATTTAATGTAAGAGATTAAAGCAATCACAGAACATGGATGTGAGCGTTCAGTATTTAACAAAACATTTAACCTTGCACGATTTCATCAAAACATGCAGATGAACTGAGTCTTATTTGTAGATCAACTCATTTTACGTGAGTTTGAGAGACTTAATTTCTATATTTCTGTTTGATGGAATGTATTTCTCTGAACAATTTATAAATTTTTTAATGCAACATGATAAACCAGATTTAAACACAGTTCAACAAAAACAACAAAACTGCCAGCCATCATTTTGAATCCTCCTCAGATATAAACAGCGCATCATCCGGCGCCTGCTGGTCCACACCTCTTCCACCTCCCCCCTGCAGCTCTCGGGTGGCGAGGATTCGTACAAGCATGGCTTCCATGGTGCTGTTGTCCAGAGGGGTGGAGGAGAACCACAGACGGCTGCTGGGAATACAACCAGGATCTGGCTGAAGGTAGAACAAGTCTGTGCGCTGCTTCACCGACTCTGAGCTGGAGGGAAGGAGACACAGCAGAAAATATAGATGGTCAACAAGTCAACAAGAAATCAGAAGCTCCTGTAAACTGATGTTCAGTAAAATCAGACAGATCCACAGCATCAACTTGTTAATGCTGAGTGATAATATACAAACATGTTAATGAGTAATTTAAAGTATCTTGCATTGTTAGGTTTCCCTAATGTGGGCTGGCTTGTCTTCCTGGATGTACTCTGTGGTATTTAATTCTGTGTACATACCTTGAGACTGATAATGTCTACTCCTAGATCCATAAGATTGTTTACTTGGACTTGTTTAGCAAATGGCTTCAAAACTAAAGATTACATTGTTAACCAGAAAATATGATGATCTAACAAAGTATTATCATCCTACTTTGCAATTCCCCTCAGCACTACAGAGCTTTTTAGCTTATTGTCAGTCTCGCTAGCCATGTTTCCATCCAATTGTCATGCGAATTTTAAACGTACTTTTGAAATGTCGCAAAAAACAAAACAAGTAATTGCGAAATATGTGCGTCAGCTGGTTTGGAGCGAATAAACCAGGCTACAGCAAGCGTCGTTACGTTGACGTTACACATGGCTGTAATAAACAAGACGTGGGTTCCAAACCATAAACAAAACCTGATGGGAACTGATTTGAGAAAAATGGAGAGAGAGGTCTTCAGAAATGTGTTTCAAGCGGCAAGTTGCTACCAGCCATGTCTCCACACGTTACGGGAATATCAGGTGTTTTGCATGCCTGCCAAGATAATATCCTTTGTGGGGTTCGTGATAAATGATTCGAAGTATTTATTTTATGAACGTTTAGAGTCGTTAATATTTTGTTACACTCACTAGAAGTAGCATTCATTGAGACTCAGCAAAAATATGCTGTAATAACCCCGTTTGATCAGTGTGCAGAGCGAAGTATCTAAAAGGACCTTTAAGAGGTGAACGCACAGTTTTTTGATGGAAACACAGCTACTGTTTACAGAAGGCAGCTGTATTTCAGTGAAAAATCTCAACCTGCTGGTGAACACAGAGGAGCATTTAGCAGCTAGTATTTCCATGATGGAGGAGACAAAAAACAGCTCTTTAATGGTACCTGTTAAGTGTATAAAGGTGGGTTAAACGTTTTATTTTACCATTTACTACTATGTTACTCACATACAGTTGTAAGGTAGCTTAGTCAACAGCTCTATTCGCTAACGACGCTAACAACACTGGAACCGGATGTGCACGGAATCTTGCTGTTGAGAAGCTCGAGTGAAGATAAATCAACGTTGTAATCCCAAAAACTCAAGTAAAAAGCTAATAAAAGCAGTTTACTCCGAGCTCCTCCTGCGAGCAAACGGCGTAGTTGTTAGAGCAGAATCCAGTCCGACTACGGGCGTTTATTTGTCCAAAAGCTGGAGCGCTGCTCCCTGCTCCTCTCCCCCAAGTTTAGCAGCTCTCCGCCAGCCAGAAGATTTTAAATCTCCCGCTCTGGCTGGCCCTCTCCACACAACGCTCTGAAGCCGTTGACTCAGCGTCATGTGACTTTCTCGCTTGAGTTCCTTTGCGTCGCTTCGCATTGTCCGACAGGAAATCGCGGCTATACGCTTCTTTGCATTGACTTTGTATGTAAACTCACCTCCCCGAACGCTTGCTTCGCTTTTGGTCTGAAAGCACCATTAGGTTTAATCCTGGAGCAACTGCTGCCTAACTTGTAAGGTCTTTTAGTTTTCCTACACAACTTTTAAGACTGAAATTTCACACCTGTACACTGCAAATATGACTTACTGTTCATTCTTTGTATATAATTCTTGTGAATTTTGGACTTTATCAGGTTGCCATAAACAAAACTTTAAATGAATCATTGCTCTCTGTCTGCTGGGTGTAAGTAAGTTTTGTGTTTCAAGCCATCACTGAGCACCAAGTGCCCAAAAACTCAGTTACCGCACGTTTAAACATGTAAAATCACAACATCACATCAACAGGGAGGAGAAGAAGAAACAGAAATACAGTAGATAAAATGGTCAACTAAAATAAATAAAATTTAAGATACAGAGAGAGAGAGAGAGACACACTTACCACTTGGAGAGGTAGAACTCGTAGAGTCTGACTGGACAGCGGAGAAAGTTCTCCGTGTTCTCCGTCATCTCCAGCACTTCCTCTTTACTCTCACGTTTCTTACGCTTCTTAGCTGGGACGCCGTCTGCATCTAACGAATACACATACACACACACACACACACACACACACACTCCTGCTGTGAGTGACATAACACCACAAACGTGCATGCGACAGCGTTTTTACACATTCCAGCTTTTATAACTTAAGATGCTGTGGAAAAAGGACAAAATATATGATGAGGTCAATTATTTTAATCTTAACTTATTTTTGTACATGCCAACTTCTTTTAAACAAAACATCGGACTTACATTTACAACAACTGCACAAAACCTCACTGAAATAATCAAACTGTAATAAGAGAAGGTGAATTTTATCGATACCACACTGGGGATATTCGCTTGTTGCAGCAGCTCAAAAGTCCAATGTGAGAAGAAGTTTAAAGTACTTTTGAATCCTAAATCAATATTGTTTTAATAAAATCAGGTACTTGATTTTGACCCTGAGCCTTGATTGTACCTGACTCGTTTATTGATATTGATCGGCAGAAGCGCAGGAAAGTGGTCTTGGTGTTATTCTCGTTGGTTTTGTTGCAGTTCACGATGCGGGCGAAGGACAGCTGGCGGTGCTGCTCCACCGTGGTGAAGCCAAAGTACTTGCAGCAGAAAAAGAGCAGACTGTTGAGGAGGACAATGGGTGAGTACGCCCCCAACTGTTTACAGTCCCACAGGAACTCCTCCTCCACATGGGAATGGATGTAACCTGCAGAGAGGGAGAGGGGCCGGTTACAAATATGGTTAATCCAAGTTGATCAGTCAGGAAAAAAAAAATTAATTAAAAAAATAAGACAACGACTCACCGCTGGCTGCGATTGAGGGTTTGAAACCTTTCAGGATCTTGGTGAACTCAGTGGAAAACTTGTTGTACATCTGATCACTGAATATGTTCTCCATACGACTGTTCCCAAACAGGTACTAAAGAGAAACAACAAGTCAGACAAAACCTGAACTGTGGGATGATGTACACGGTTGTCCAAATGATTTCTGAAGCTGTATGCTCTGCAGATTGCATGGCAATAAATGTGCATGGATGCTTCCAGCAGAGGGCGCTGGTGCTGCAGAAGCGGTACAATATAGGGTGTGACTCAAATCACGCCCTTGTTCAGCAAGCAGCAAGTGACAATACAGTGAATTGGATTTTGGAAAATTATCGTGTGCCAGTGTTCATAGAATCAGCACAATAATCACATGAAATCAAAAGAATATTCTGCATACGCCCAGAGATAGTGCTGGTAGATTAAAGAAACAAGCTGATGTGAGGAACGTTTTATAAAGTCACTCGTGGACTACGAATCTCCAGCATAATGTTCAGAATCAGAAAAAGTTTAATGTTGTAAAATAGAGTAATGCAAAAGATACATGAATAATGTAGATCATTTACAAAAGTTAGAATCAGAAGCAAGACCACACTGCAAAAAGACCTAATTAGTTATCAGATCTTCTTAAATCTGGGTAACCCACTGTGTCTCAGTTTTCTTAAACAGGATAAGTCTAGTTATGTACAGGTTGTGTTTTTACCAGCTAGTCCACGGTACAAACATGTCCGCACACTTCACATTTATGAAAGTCTGGTGATTTGGAGACATTGTGCTGTGTGTGCAGAGTAGCTCGTCTTGCCTTTTGTATACCGAGACAGAGGTAGAACAGGCCGTCAGGGGAGTACGGCTCTCCATCGGGTTGTTTCACCTCAGTGATGAAACAACAAAGGCCGCTGCTCAGCTCGGCAGCAGAGCAGTGAAGAACATCCTCCTTTAATGTCACGGCATGTGCTAATAACAGAAGCAAAGAGTCAGGAGGACGTGTCGGAGGATGGGTCAGCCATGTTGTATTTGTTCGCACAACAACATGGTAACAACAGCTAAAACTAGGGACGCTGTGGTTATATGCATATAAATGCAGTATAAAGTATAATTCGGCTACCAGAGCTCATTATTCATTTAAATGGTATAAAGTCAGCTTGGATTTAATGTCAACAACAAGATGATTGGTGTTGATTGTTGTACTGCAGCTGAGCAGGTTATTAGATGAAGATTTTGAAATACAGATGTACATTTATGAAATACAAAATATATATATTATCAGCAGTGGCTCAATCAGGCTGAAACTGAAACCATACAGCATCCATTACATTCTGTCATTGCAATTAGTTTTATCTTTTAAATACCAAAAGGACCTTTCCAAAACAACAAATGTAAACACCTTTTTAAACATGCGTTTGTTAAGTTTTCTAAACATAAGATTACTTAAAATCGAATTGTAAAAAATAAAAAAAAATAAAAAAAGAGAAGAAAAACATACAGGAAACAAGGTCCAGGTTGGTTTGTGATTTCCTCCATTGTACCCATCTCTTCCAGGCGTCAATTCCACTTTGGCTATTCAGTTTGTGGTGCTTCCTGGACACGGTCTTGGAAAAGCCTCTTTGAGATGTCTTCTTTTTAGCCGCCTTGGTAAACTGTTGCAGCTTGGATAGAGAGGGGAAACAAGATTACACCACAGTAGGATGATACCACAGCTTCTAAATTCATTTCTCAGGTGGATTGTTACCCTTCTCTTGTTGTGGACTTTCCCCACAGGTTGTTGTACTAGAGGAGGTGCCGGTGCAGGGTTAGGTGGGCTCTGGGGGTCCTCTCTCATCTCCAGAGCAAGAGGAGGAGCAGGAGGTAGGATCTCAGGCTGAGGCTCAACGGGCATTCCCACTTCTAAAACGGGAGGTGGTTTTTCATGGTTGTGCGAGTCTTCCCGGCTGTTCAGAGTGGCCTCACGATCTTTATCAAGGTCACTATAGTTAATGGTGTGCTCTGAAAATAATGATGATGATATAAGTTGAGGATGAACCAGAATGGAGAGTCTGCATGTTTTTTGCTTCCAATCAAGACAAAGATCCAAACAGAAAGGGGGGCTAATACGAATACAACCCTTTCGTTTTCCTTTATTTAACCTGGTTAATCTAATTTTCAAGGAAATCCTCGCCAACATGGCAGCACAGTAATGTTACGCAAGCTAACACAGAAACAATATTCACTGAGAGAAGAAGAAAAAAGGAAAACAAAGAACTAAACCTCATTAAAACAAAAAACAGATGAGAAAATACAATAATTTCAGTCATCAGGATAGTATCAACATATTTCTAGGACTCGCATGTGTGTCTACTGTGAGTTACAGCAGGCATCAAGGACACGAGCAAAACCTTGTATCTGTTTCTCCTGTGTGATAACAACCTCGGAGAGAACCCACGCAGACAAGGGGAGAACATGCAAACTCCACACAGAAACTGGGGGATTGAATCCGCGACCTTCTTGCTGTGAGGCGACAGTGCTAACCACTGCACCACCATGCCACCCATTTAATCCCTTCCAAAAACATAAAATAAAAAGTGTTATTTTTTGGCTAATCCTGTACTTTGAGGAAATGTTTGCGAAAGTATGTACCTGTTGTGCTCAGTGACAAAATAACGATTGTTTAAGAGGAATACTTTAGAAAACCTGCTACTTGTGCTTGATCTGTCTGTACAGAGCACAGCAATGCAACAAGAACTTCAAAAGGCTTTTCACAGTCTGCATGTTTTATTTAAATTTTATTTACTTCGGTTAATAAAATGCACATTTGTGCAGAGGCTTGCAACATGGCAACCCTAAAACTTTACATCAGCCTGAACTCTTGAGAAACAACCATAAGGAGTAACTAAAGAGCTGGAACAGTTTCCAGCTTTTTCCTTCCTCCCTCAAGTGCCATCTTAACAGTATCATCACTTCATGTTCATCAGATGTCTTACCCTTTGGAGTGCGAATTTCTTGTCTTTGTCCCTCTTTTGTCACCACTCTCTCCTTTTGCCTGTCTTCGCTCTCGTTCCTCTTATCTTGCATTTTCTTCTTCTCAGACTTTAAGTTGAGCTCTCCCTTGATAGGGTCAGGCTGGATGCTCTCCTTCATGGATTTCACAGTTGGGTCAGCGTTGTCTGGCGTCACGGGGAGAAAAATGGGTACAGGAAGCTGCAGCAGGGACAGTTTTGGGAAGACGGAGTCTGTAAGATCTGATAGTGACACCTGCAGGCTGTGCTGCTTCACAACACGTAATTATTATTAGAACATTTAGCATTTACTTTGACAGTACAGAAAATATCCAAAAGGTGAGCGGGAACAACTTGTGGCTCAGGTTCGTGGCTGAACTCAGACCGAGAATGTTGGTGTCGCACGGTGTGCGTCTTTAACGGCTCGGTCAGAAGGACACCTATGAGCCCAAATCTAACCCCTTTAAAACCCAGTTTGAGGAGAATTTTTCAAACAAACTTTTAAATGCCATAATTTAAAATCTCAAACTGGGGACAAGGAAAGATAAAAGATATTTGTATTTTTGCAGTGGTGTTTTAATGTCACCTGATTTTGGTGTGTAACAGAGACAAAATTAATCAGTGTGAATTAAATTAGACCCAACCACTGCAAGTAATCCGACAAAATCAAATGAAAAACAAGATGCCACATGCTGTAAGTCTGTGAAAGTGTTTTCCTGAAATTATCATTGTTTGTTCCGAATACGTTAAGTGCAGAAAATAGTGAGGCTCTTTTCTGTTAGATGAGAACAACACGAAAACAGAAACAGGTTACGAACATTTTAACTAAAGCAACATTTAACAACACCAGAAAATTTAAAGAATGACTTTTCTTCCATTGTAAAGCCTTGATTTTTGATATCTGTATGTTATATTAAAGTAAAACAAGGCTTGAGGTGGTGTTTCACATACCGGTAAGGGCAGGCCCACTGGCTTTGGTGTGTACTGGCTGTACATGTTCATAGGCAAAGGGACATACATCGGCACCGGTACAGGCAGGACTATGACTGTGGGTTCAAAGTTGTCTGCACACAACAGAAGAAGTAAAAAGAAACATCAAAACTCTTAATTCTGAAAAGAGGCTATGTTTGTACACCTTCGTATTTACATATTAACCCTGAGCAAAGACATGTTTTAGCCTAATGTGGAAATTGTCTCATACACAGTTTTAGCGTATTGGCTGACATTTGGAAAAATCAAAACCAAACACAGGTGTGAACCTCAACATTCTTTTGTAAGTGCATCATAAAAAATAAAAAGTTAATTCGGTGAGCATTTAAAAATCCTGGGAGTAAATTTTACCTGTCTGTGCTTCTGTGTCGACAGTCTGTGTTGTACAGGAGACTCCTTTGTTGTGAACCAGCGGTGTGCAAAGCATGGACTTGTTCTTCAGTTCCTTGGGCACTGTTTGAATACTGGCCTAAAAGAAAAGTATTTTGTTTGTTTGTTGTTCAACAACAATAATTCAAACATCAGTAATAATCTGCATTTACTATATAGAGAGAGATGTTAACAGCTGGTTGTTGTGGTTAAGGTTATATCTTGGCTATCTAAAATATGTGGTCAAAAAACAAGAGTTAGTTTTTGAAATAATTCTGATAAAAACAAAGGGTAGTGCTTACATGTCCAACAACCTTTGTTTGAATGTCTGGGAGAGAAACTGTGAAGAAATGGTCAGTTTGAGTCAGAAGAACACAAATATTCACGGCAACTGAACCAAAGTATATGAAGCATCTTCATTTCTCACAGTTAATAGCTATTCTACAGGATGTGCATCCATAATGTCTGTGTGTGTGTGTGTGTACCATGCTGTGCAGAGCTGGCAGAGGCACTGGGCTGCCTGGCCAAAGCACCAGCAAGTGAGATAACGTTAGCGATGACCGGGGAGGACTCTGTTGCGCCTGCAGATCCAGGAGGTGAAGAGACTGTTGGCAGGAAACAGATTGATCTCATAACATTTCATATAGTACGTAAAAACAAAAGTCAAACTAGAGGTGTCTTCAGGAAGACGGACCTATGGCAGAAAAAGAAGGGTCCAAGAGTTTCTGATGCTCCAGATAATAAAAACAGGAACTGCACTCAGAGGAAGGATTATAGTAAAAAAAAAAAAAAAAATGCAATCAATGAAGAGGACAAAAAACAAACAAACATTGGTGTAACTTTTCCTTGCAGGAGAACTAAGAGACTGAGGGCAGACATGGATGTAGTGTTTCTGCTCTTGGACAGGTTGGTATACGTAAAACGTTTTAGGCTATAGTCGTTCTATTTACTCTACCTAAACAAGAGATTATTGTCTAGGAACTGTGAAAATGTATCTGTATTGACAGAATTTATTACTCTCACTGCCAGACGGGGGAGACAAAGTTCATCACGGCAGGTTTAGGAATGTTACATGTAAATGTACAGTACATATGTTAGTCGCTTCCGTGAGCAGTGAATTTCTCTGTACAGCAGGTCTTTACTAGACATACTAACTGCACTATTACGCATTGCTCCCACAGGAAAGTGCTGGATAAGTTAACAACATGCTTAGCTTGCTACATGGGTTTAAAATGATGCAGCACATCAGAATTACAACTATTTCTGGTCCCAGGTGCTTCCAGGATGCATTAAGGTCCCAACAAGGCTGAAATCCAATAAGTGTCAAAAATCCAGCTCAAACTTAAACAAGGTTGTACGCAATGAAACAGGCAAATAAAACATCAAATGGCAACAACGACACATACCAGCGTTGACCATCTGGACCTTTTTGTTGCAGAAATGTAGGAGACATTTCAGGTCACAGAAGTGTTTGACCTCTCCCAGCATGGGAAGACTCTGCCTCAGTTTCCCTTCGTGACCACAGGTGTCACACTTGGCAATCTGAGAGAAAGCAGAGAGTAAATGTGTAGTCAGTACAGAGCCCTTCGTTATCATCAATTTCAGATTATAATATGGAGTTAAGGATAATATATAGTCCAAAAAAGACAAACTCTACAATGGACAGGTAATTCGTGCAGTGGGTGAACTTCCACCTCCTACTTACATGGCAGAAGAGCATTTGGTAATTTGAGCTACACTCTTCAGAGCAGAACTCCTCTTTAGTGCCTTTAAACTGTGCCGTCACCACCGTCTGAGAGATGGAGAGGCAGTAGGCACACGAGCTACAGTGTTCCCCCCACTGCTTTTCCAGATCATGTTGAAAGAGCATCTTACAGCCTGGGAGGAGAAAAAGGAGAGGCTCAAGGATTGACTCTTTTTCTCCAAATATTATTTACAGTAACTGATCAAAAGTGCACAACACAAACTAGGATACACTATCCTACATTATACACGTGTCCTCTTACCGTCACTGCAGAAGTAGCAGTCTTTGCCGTCGACCCTCTTGGCGTCTGTGATGATCCTTTCATTCTTACAATATTCACACTTGCCCATGATGTTGTTGACCCTCTTAAACTCTTGAGAACAGGCCAGGCTACACACAAAATTCATTTTGCCCTGCGCGCGCACAAACACACACACACACAGTGTATTTTTACAAACACATTCACACAAATGTCTTCGTGTATATTACCATTTAAGCGTGAGGTTTATAGCTGGTAGGTCAACACTGTCAAAATAAAACTGAATATCAACGGACATAATATGACAAACAATTAGATCAGCTGGGATTTACAAGATTCACTCAAGGGTACTGAAGAAGGGGGGGGGACACAGACCTTCCCAGCTAGTTGACAGACCTGCTTCTTTGAATGTTACATCATCACATCCTGATAGCTTTTTGCTTGAGTTGCCAATTCTAGCTTTAAAAACAGACCCCACCTTTTTCTGTACGACTTGGGGCGCAGCTTTTATGATGCGTCGACACTGAGCGCACGGCAGTTTCCCTGGTGGTTTGAGGAAATCACACTGGGTTTGGTCGGGGGCTCCTGTTGGGCTAGTGGCAGACTTCATGTCTTTCTGGGACTCCTGTGGCACAAAAAAGAGAGAGAGAGAGTGAGAGAGAGTGAGAGTGAGGCTAAAACACCCAAGTCATTTAACTGTTGAAAGGGAATTTTAAAGTAATTGCAGAAATTGTACTGTTTATGTCGGATAAGAAAAGATCCAGGTGGATTTAAAGGTTGTTTGTTTGATTCCCACCTAGCAGAGGACTTGAAGCTTACTGATGAGCTTAGTGAGTTGTCTTTACACCTTAGAAAGAAACACTGTGCATTACGGTGTTGTTGTACATAAAGTTGTTTTGGTTTAGTAGATATCTTTAAGAAGTTTTTGAAACGTCTGTTTCTTATTTAAATTAGCACTGCAGGTGATTATAGATTTAGTAATCCTATTATATTTGGTCAATATTTAAATTTAGTTTGTATGTATTTAGTTGCCTATTAACTAGGGGAGTGTATTAACAACAGTTTTGTTTAGATCAGATATCAAAGTCGGATTGTGATATAATTCTTGTCTTTTTATATAGAGGTTTATTACCTTAAACGCCATGGCACAGGTGAGAGTGCAAAAGTTTCTGATGGACGCATCTGACATGGCGAGGTGGCAGGCTGGTAATGTAGTCTTACCACAGTTGTTGTCACAATTCAATGGAATACCTGTGGAGAAAATGAGGTTTTATGATAGAAACAATTATGACAGATTTACTAAGAGCTTGAATGTTTTTGTAGACAGAAAGAGCAAGAGAAGGAAGGACAAAGACAGAGCAGCCGTCTTGTTACGGTCCAATACCTGATGCACTGACAGCCTGGATCTTGGATGCCATAACACAACTGCTCGAACAGAAGAGCTCCACTGTGCCGTCACCGTTTTTGTTTTCAACCATGTCGGACATTAAATGGGAAGTGCAGCACATGGCACACGGCTGTGGTGTTGTGATTTTCTGAAAACAAAAATAGCACATAAACACATAAATGTTTTTCCCTTTTTATTTGGTTTCTTTTTGTTATATCCTCACGGTATCTTTATTTTGCTTAGCATAGACTAGTGTTTTTTTCCCCCACAACCTTCTACTTAAATAACTGTTTCATTCCCTTTTAAAAGCAAATAAAAAAAATCTACACTCCGCTACAAGCCTTTAAAAGTGGATCCATAGCTTTAGAAAAATGGCCAAAATGTACAGCTCTTTCTCGATCATCTTTGACATCTGAAAAATGTTTTTGTTACCCGCTTGAACTGAGCCAGACACTCTGCATTGCAGAGTTTCTTTCTGCCATCTTCCATCTTGAGACTGAGGGGTCTGTTGCTGCTGGAGCGACAGTTCTCACAGACGGACAGGTTGTTCATGTTGCAGAAGCGGAGAAAACAGGGATCACTGCAGATCTTATGAACGACGTCCTGCTGTATGATTTCATGTTTGCTCTGCAGGAGGATAAACAGTTTGTCAAACATAATTCATATTCATTCCAATTTACAGGAACCTGGAAAAAAAAAAGAGGTAGTGAGTTGAAATGTTTATAAGGGAGACGAAGATTTTATTTATCTTTAAAAAGTAATTGATGAAAAATGTAGACTCATAATCAGAATGTGGTTGTGGTTATTTTAAAACACACAGTTTATAAGATCATTCTTATAACAGGCAGTGATCTTCATTATTACAATTCAGAAATATAACTTTTTGAGCTTTTGGAATCTGTTCCCTCATCTCTTACAATGCAATATCTGCTGCACATGCTGCATTGTGACTGTGACGCGACTGGTGCGATGGGAATTTTGGTGGACATGATTCTCTTGTAGTTGAAGGAGGACAGGCAGGTCTGGCTGCAGAAATCCTTCATTGTGCCGTCAGTATCCACCGGGGCCGGAAGGACGTCCTCATTCTTTGTTATTGCCCTGAGAGAACGAGGAAAGATGAGATCAGTTTGAAATACACAATCTCTGTGCTAAAATGTGTAGAAACAGCTGAGATGGCTTTAGCTGAAGAGCATTTGAAAGTAAGTGAGATGAGAAGAAGAAATGGTGAAAATAAACTACTGTATGACTCACTGAAGGCAGAAGTGGCAGGTCTTCCTAACTTGTTTAATTTGGTAAAATTTCAAAAGGCATGGGGTGGAGCAGAATATATCTGCATGGAGCTTCCTCTGATAAACTGTCTCTCCGTCCATCAGGACCTTTTTGCAGCTGGAGCAAGACGCAGGCAAATCCATGTGGGTGAGAGTGGGCGAGTGGGAGAGTGTGTCTCCCTTCAAGGAAAAGACTGAACCAATCTTCAATTCCTCCTGTCATAAACAAAAGAGTAAGATAATGCAGTTACATTACATTTCTAATTGTGGAATACTTAAGGTAAAAAAAAGGAACCTTTCCTTAAGTATTTGTATTTTATTCACCTATCTATTTATACTCCACTATATTTCCAGGGGATATGTTGTATTTTTGATCCATTACATTTATTTGACCACTGTTGTTATTTTGCACAATTTTAAAATGAACAAACAAATGTTAAGCTTTTAAAACATGTTCTATTGTTCAATGGAAAAAAAACTCTTCTTTATAAAGTAATTTTAGACTCAAGTTAAAGTATCTGACCGACCAGTGTATTAATATTTTAAGACGTTCAATGCAAATCATCTTGTTTATTTTTTAAACTCTTTTTCATAACTCTAGTACCTTAAGCAGTTATTCTTACTTCTTTCAAGATGCAGACATACCGTACATTTCTAAAAAAGCTGACTTAAATGAAATATTTTTCCCGCAATGTAAAGCAAGGTTTTAGAGATTCAATTACAGACATAAATTCTTTTGGCGTTATCTCCATCTGTAGGCAATTTATTTATCATTATATGACAAATTAATATTTTTTGTATCTTTATGCTGCACACACAGGAAATAATTCTACAGTCAATTTTTTTAATCTGCGTCAGTGAGAACGTAAACAGCAGCAACAAGATAGTGTTGATCAACCTAAACGACCATCAAAAAAGAGCCATTTGGCATTATGTGCACTTTACTTTTGATACTTCAAGTTAATTTTGTTCATTATACATACATACTTTTACGTAGGTATTATTTTCAATGCTCAACTTTTAACTTTAACGACGTATAAATGAAATACATGCTCTGCTGGCTTGTCTCCTACCTTCACCCTATTAGGCTCGTCCTTGATGTTTTCTGTGGATATGGAGGATGACAGATTCTGATTGTACTCCTCATCAATGGGCTCTTCTTTTATCTTGATGAGGAGTGCAGAGAGATACTGATCAGTTGTGTAACATATACAACAGAGAAGTCTGTGTGGAGAATTGTGACGATTCTAACTGGAGTTCAATTTAGCAAATCTACTGTCTTACGTGTACACACTGCAACTCACCAAGAGAAGAAATACTATTAGTTAGTCCAACTTTCTAGTATTATTACTTATTATTGTTATTGCTATATTGTGCATCACACCTATCACAACAAAAAAATGCTGTGGCTGCTCAAACAAGGAAATGTGGTTTAAAGGCATGCCTTGAATCCATTGAATGTATTACAATACTCACAAAGTCCAAATTTGGTAGTGGTGGCTTCACTTCTTTAACATCATTTTCTTTGGATGATGGGCAGTTCCTTCCTATAATGATGGAAATGTGTCAAATGGTAATGGATTTAAAACACAATGATGGTCTACATAGAGAGATGTGCCTGGAAACACTAGAAACACATTCTCAAGGGTAGAGTAGATGCTCTAACTCAATGAAGTGATTATATTCAGTGAACTTTGTTGTTTGAGTAAATGAGGCAGCCAAATGTGACCTATTCTTTGTTCAAACTGAATTGTATAATTCAGTGCAAAGTACCTAGGCAATGTAAATAAAGGCAGAGGGGAGTGAAAGTAGAAGGGAAGAGATCCTTTTTTAATGAAAAAAGAAGACTGCAGTACCTGAAACGGTTAACGATTGAGCCTTGTGTACCACCATACATCTGTTACTACAGAAGAAGTCCAAACTGCCCTCGTCGTTTTCATTTTCAACCATGTCTGACATCTGATGGGACGTCTGGCACATGGGGCACAGCTGAGGTGTCTCAATTTTCTGCAGAGTTATAAAACAAACAGCAGAGAAACGATGTGAGGCACGAAAAACGATTTGCAGGTTCAAATAACCGTGATATGAGCGTTTGGCTAAATCTCTAAGAAAATAAATGATTTAATTATTAGTTAGCTGTTTAAGCTTCAAATGTGTTTTGTCAAATATTAAAATGCTTATTAATTCATCAAGTATTTTTTCTGTAAACTAAAATAACCTCCAAAAATGTAGTAAAAGATTATACCACTAGTCAAAATATAAATGAATATACCAGTAAATAATATTGTTGGTCAAATAATTATGATTTTCTAATCATCTTTACTAGCTCATTTTATTTTAATTTGATTAAATTTTTTGGTCCTGGCATACATTTATTTATTTACCAATTCTTCTCCCCCCGAGCAATATTTGTCATATTCCTCATCCTAACGTGCCATCTGCCATCATTACAAAACTGCAAAACAACAAAATTGTGCAGTGTATAAGGAAATAAGTTTTATATTGGACAGTCTGTGCTGAGTGAATTTATAGCTTAGTAGTATGCAT